TCCCTAACTGGCCCCAGCTGTGGGTGCTCAGCAGAGCTTCCAGTCACACACACACACACACACTCAGGCTGGGGAGCTGGCCCAGGAGCAAGTACCAAAATAGTTTTAGAAATGACTGTCCAGCCCAGCCTAGGCATTAGAAAAATACTCTTTGCAAAGGGAAGGGAGGGGGCAGTGTGGAGTGGAAGGTGGCCTGGCTGGCCATGGGGCTGACAGCCTCAGCCAAGAGTTCTGGCCAAGCCCAACACCCTAACCCTGAGCAGAGGTGGCTCCAGAGCTCAGTGTTCGTGGGGACAGAATGGCAGGTTCCGTGGATCCCACAGATTAGCAGGTATAGTGGGTCTATGTTAAGAGGCCAAGGCAGGAGCCAGAGATCCAGGACCCCAGCCAAGCAGTGACCAGGATAGTGCTGGCCTTCCTGGTAGAGGGAGACAGGTCAGCAGAGAGTGGGGGAGGCTTGGGATGGCAGGCCTGTCCATGGCAGCCCAGCAGGTGGACCAGACCAAACAAGTGCCCCCCCTCAGGCTCCTATCCAGGCCAGACAGGGCCTTTCAGGAACAGCCTGAGATGGGCTTGCTGGGACCCTAGCAAGTGTCCAAGTGCTGGCCACACATGGCCTTCTAAGGCCAGTGGTATTCCTAGGAACAGGCAGCATTTGGGCCTGGTGCAGGGTGGCAGGCACTAGGTAGCAAGTGGGTCAAGTTCCTCAGGCTTGAGCCAGGGTGGGTCTACACTAGGAGGCAAGTGAACCTCTGGCCAGGCTCAGTGTGCTGGCTCAACCCACAGGACCCAACCAGTCTTGTGTGCCTCAGACCTCTTATGGGAAATTGGGTGGCCAAACCGGCCCTGAGCCCCTGCACCTCTACGTGGTCAAAGCTGGCCTGTTTCACACACAGCCAAGACCTCCAAGAGCTGATGGCTGCCTTTTCTAGCACTTAACTGAAAATCATGTTGCTATGAGTTCCCAAAAAGGCAGCCATGCTTCAGCAAGCAACACCACTTATGGGGTCTACCAAGGATAAGCCCAGGATAGGTGGAGGTTCTGGGGACCCAGATAGGAGGCCTAAGGGGTTGCTGCTGCTGAATAGTAAGGACCCTACTCCTGAAGCACTTCATTTGATCAGGATGGCACAGTCAAGGGCCTCGTCTTCCACAAGGTTCCTCAGATTCTTCTCAGATTCCTCAGAAGAACTGGGGGATAGTGCATGATCAGAAGGGTCATAGTGGAGGAGGTCTGGGGAGGTCTGGGGAAAGAGGGCAGTTGGCCTCACCCCAGGAAATCCTTCACGTCTTCCACCGTGACGTCCCCTGTTGTGTCCAGCGTGGTGTCGCCACTGGTGGCTGAGTCAATGGACATGGGTGAGAGTGTAGCCTCAGGTGGCTCTGGGGTGTCTATAGGGAGGAAGTGCTCAGCTCCTGCCAGAACCCCTCAGCATCTTCCACACTTGGTGGGATGTGGCACTGACAGGCATACATCTACTCCTCTCTGCCCTCTTCCAGTACTGATGCTCAGTGATGCCTCCTCAGGAGCCTTCCCCTGTGCCTGAGCTATGAGTCCCGTCCCAAGTCCTCCCCAGAAACCACTGTGCCAGAACCCCACCCCACTACATCACCCCCTACCAGCTCCCTTGCTGTGGGCAGGATCAGGGCTTCCATCACAGCTCTGTGGAGCCAGGATGATGCTTGGGGTCCCATTAGCCTGGCTCAGCTTGGGTGACTCTTGGAGCCTGTGAATGCAGAGATGGGGTTGTGGTAGGGATCAGAGCAGGTGCCTAACTGCCTCCCCCCTCTGCCGATCCTCACACCCCCTAAACCCAGGGAACAGACAGGAGTTACACCAGAGAGGGCAGAGCCCAGGGTGGTTGACAGCTGGTTCTCATTATGGGCCCATCCACACACCTGGATCGGGTGGCATCATGGGGCCAGCTAATGTCCAGAGAGCAAAGTGGCTCTGTGATGTTGCGGGCACTCAGGGAGAAGCGCTCAAATTCTGATGGGGAAATTAGGTAAAAGCCTGTGGACAGGAGAGGAGGATTGAGGAGTGTAGTGAGAACCAACCAGCCCTAAGCCTTGCTGGCCCCTCCGCAGCACTCCCCAGCAGGGCCTGTGCCCTACACGGCACACCCTCTCCACTGTTCCCAGGCATTCTCCTAGCCCTTCACAATCTTCCCTTGCATTCCTGACCACCCACCCCCACCTCACCCTGGCCATGGCGTGTGAAGACACAGGAAGCAATGCCACTAATATCCTCCTTCCGGATGCAGGAGTAGTGCACCTGAGGCCGCAGGCCAGGCACTGAGAAGACGTGGACGTCGCCAAGGTTGGTGAGGCAGGCCAGGCAGGTCTCAGCATAGTCCTCACATGCCACACTAGCAAACGTGGCCAGGGCCACTTTGCGCACACGACAGCCCTCATGGGCCGTCAGCTTGAACTTGGTCTTGGCGCTCACTTTGGGTAGTGTGAACACCTGGTGAAAGACGGCCAATGAGGAGGGGCTGGACCTTTCTTGTCCCAGGGCCCCTTATTCTCTCATAGCTGCAGGTGCCTAGTTTGTCCCACAGGCCTCAGGCCACACTGCCACCTGCAGACTCAGCCCAGGCTTCACTGTGATCCAGGAGACCCCCTGACCTTCTCCACCAGTGGTCAGATCAACCACACAGGGTCCTAAGGTTCTGTGTCTGGTATCCCTACCAAACCATGAGCCTCTTGGGAATGGTCCCTGCAGGGCACTGTGTGGGGCAGTGAGATTGGAAGGTCTTGTGGGAACTTTGTAGGCCCAGAGAGCATCAGGATCCTTCAGGAGCCTCTGCTGGCTGGGGACACACTGATAGGGCAGAAGGGACTTGAAATGTCTCGGCAGGTAGAGGTTCTAGAAAATTCAAGATAGGAGCCTGGAAGCGGGGTGGTCTCCAAGCCCACAGCAGCTCACCTTAAACTGCTCCTCAGATGCAATGAGAACGGCATGCCCACCCTGCATGTCAGGTGCCTGCGCCAGGTCCCGAGAGGCCTCATAGGGCTCAGGCAATGGGCGGCCACGCCCATCCAACACAGCGATGGCTACCACAGGTGCCCGGTGCATCAACTGCACCTCCTTGCCCAGAACAGCCTCCACTGCCTGCTCTGGCCGCTTCTCACCACTTGCCACAGCTGCTGGCACCTCCAGTGCATAGGCAAACACAGAGCCTGAGTTGGTGCCTGCCCACATGGTGGGCCCATGGTGAGCCGCTGTGGGGGATAAGTACAGTGAGGAGGTGTTCACTGTGTGCCCCCACACCTTACAGATCCTTCCCTATCTCTCTTGCATCTCCACTTTCTAACTGTGGCATTCAGAACTCAGGTGGACTCCCATGCCTCCCTAGTGACCTCAACTCACTAGCCTGAGACCAGCTCTATGCTGCTGACTACAGATACAGGCCTGGATGCAGCCCTTCTGTAGAAGCACAAACCACCCCAAAGGCATCTGCACAGTATCGTCAGAGGCCTACAGATTGGACCTTGGCTCTGCCAATCATCCTCAGCCCCATCTTGGCAACCACAGCTTCCCCCTTCCTGTCACTCAGGCAGACTCCTCCTACCCACTCCTCACATCCCATCACTGGTCCCTGGCCATGATGAGAATCAGCTTTCATGGTGCATGTGCTGCAGGTCCAGCCTCTCCCTCACCTCCACCCTCTGTACCTTGTCCCCCACACTACAACATGGGACAAGATGAACCAGGCTTGCTCAGAACCCTTCACCCTACTTTGCATGTGTGAACTGAGCCTCTGATCACAATCTTTAGTAGGGCTGAGCAATGCAAGAGGGTGACAGACATGAACATTTACCATTCTGCATCCTTGATAACTCATGAACCAGAGCAAAGCCACTGGGAGCCAGCCGCCAGTGAAAAGCCAGAGTGATTCAAACATGATAGCTGTGCGGCAGAAGCCCACCACAGGGACATGGAGCAGTTAAGCCCATCCACACAGTAGGGAAATCTACCAGACAAACACCCTAGACAAGTAAATGACATCACACGAGGGGTCCATGGACCAAGCATGAGCTGGGTCTAGGGAATAGCCTCAGTTCTATGGGGTGTGATATGGGCAGTATGGCTGTCGGGACATTTCTCAGGCACTTGTGAGGTATTCATGCCTGGGTTTTTGTTTAAAATACTCCAGCAAGATATGATAGCAGAGTGTGGGGTAGACACAAAACAGCAGTAGATACCTGGGGGTGGCAAATGAGGTGCATGGGTGTTTCAAATTTACTATTATACAAGGTAAACATCAAAGAACCAGTCAATATCCTTAAGGACCCCCTTAAGGGGCTCCTAAGTCACCCAGAGTCTAAGCCAGGTCCTCAGCATGGCAGCCATCACTAGCCCTGCCTAGGCCTCTCCCTCTCCTCCCTCGCTCACTCACTCTAGCCACACTGCTGACAGTTCCTCCATCAGCCCACCAAAGGGCCTCAGACCTGGCCCTGGCCCTCACCGTGGGGTCCCTTCTTGCTCAAGTCTGCTGGGCATGACTGGCTCACTCAGTAAGTCCTCATCACATGTCCCCATGGGAGGCTGTATGAACAGCAGGGCATCCCCATCACCAGCACAGCCCAGCACACAGTAAATCCTAACACTTTCAAACCTCCTGGAAGGCACAATCCCACCACCACCCCACCACTACAGAAGACATCCTCTTCAATCCCTGCCCTGGACTCACCATCTCGAAGAAATGTGTCAGCAAAGTAGAGGCAACGCACGACACCAGAGAGGGAGTCATCAGCAGAGCGGGGCTCAATGCGGCGCTGCACAGGTGTCATCTCCACGTCATGAGGGCAGGGCTGCTCTGCCAGCTGTGCGTTGGCCTCCAGCAGCTGTAAGGGTAGGGACTGAGAGGATCTCCTGAGCCTCACTGCAACCATTCTGTCTAGCAGCTGACATTCATCACCATTCATCCACTGTGTTCCCCAGGCCTCCCCTTGCACCCTCCTCATCCTGAGAAGCACAATAGGGCTTCTCAGGCAGCCACTCCAGCTCACCTTGCTGTTAGCATTAGCAGCCCGCTTCTTGCCTGAAACACGGCTCTTGCGAATACGCCGGAAAGACTGTCGCAGTGATTTCTTGAGGGACTTCACCCGGGATAGCGGCCCCTCCATAGCCAGAGAGTCGTTAGGGTGAAGGGTGCACCTAGGGCAGGCAAGGCCAGCATCAGCCCCTCTGGCCCCACCCTGCAGTGCTATCAGTTAGTGATGCTCAGCGTGTCCTGCAGGGAGTTGCTGTTATTCCTTACAGGGTGACAGGCTACAGGGCTTTTGCAATCAGCCTGCCTTTACACCAAACTTTAGAATGAGAAACTGAAGCACAGACCCTACTTTGCCAGGGCTCCAGCTGCCTGCCCACCTACCCTGCCCCACATACCTGGCTAGCACTGGGCTCTTGCGCTGGTAGTCAAAGAGGCCGAAGCCATGACTAGTGCCAAAGGCCACAAGGCTCCACTCAGCATGGAGTGTGACAGCTGTGACAGCAGCAGGCGGCAGGCACTGCACCAGCACCCGGGGCTGGAAGCCAGCAGGCCAAGGCAGTGGCCCCATGCGTGGGCTCAGTCGCTCGTGGCCCTTCCACGTGAAGCCCTCGCGGTCCTGGAGGAGGTCCACACTGGCCACACTGATGGCCTGCTCTGCTGGCATGTCACTGAGCTCCAGCACCAGCACCTGGTTCACAATCGGGCAGGGGAGGGTCAGCACAGAGAAAGGGTGCCCTGGGCTCCACCCCAACCGCTGCCTGGGTGCCTCTAGGACTCTCTTCAGTTCACCCACTAAATAATCCCTTTTTGAATGTCTACTATATACCAAGGAGCACAGTCATGAGCACTGGTCCTTGCCCTCCTTAAGTGAAGGACTCTTACCCAAGCTACTGTCTCCTCTTTAGCAATGAGCATACATTGAGCCTTCCTGGATATTGGGAAGTGCCAGAGGCAGGGCTGTGATTGAGAATGGCTAGTCCCTGCCCTCACAGAGCTCATTTGACGCACATGTTCCACCAGCACCTCCAAGTCTCCATGTTTCCCCACCAGAGCCCGGCTCAAGATCCCCAGAGACAGGCCCCACTTCCTATCTGGCCTAATTCCAGCCAGCCCCACCCGGACCCCCATTTCCACCTCTGGGATTCTGCCCATGTCAATCTCTCTATCCCTCCACCAGATCCTTCATTTCAGGCCCATCTCCTCCAGAAAGCCCTCCCTGACCCCTCTTATCCAAGGCACATCCAGCCATACCTGGCCTGCAGTGCCAGCCACCACCATCTGGGCTGTGTACTTGCAGAGTACAACCTTCTGCACACCGAGCCGGGGATCATCACTATAGGGGTCAAAGCAGCCCACCTGAAGGGACAGGATAGAGTGACAACACCAGGCAGAGCTGGGACTGGCTCCTCAAGGCCAGGGGAGGGAGCCCACCTTGCGGAAGGGTGGCCAGTCATCCTCAGCAGCCTGGCCCAAGCTGTCAGCATGTTCACAGTCCATTTGGAAGAGGCCAGCTGTGCTCAGCTTGTAGAGTGGCCGAAGCGCCACACCAGAGGCATCCCAGAACCGCACGGTGCCATCCTCATGGCTGCAGCAAGGGCAAACACTACAGTCACCCCTAGGAGACCTGCACACCCCTTCATCCACTCTTCCAATAGTCACTGTGAGCACCTACTGCATATGCCAAACACTAGCCAGAATCCTACTGCATGCACTAATGAGCACTTACTATATAGAACAAACAGGCAGTACCACCTACTGTGTGCCAAGCTACATCTATAACATGCACATGGGCCCTTCAAACAGGATGGAAAGGGGTAGAAATAACCACCTTGACAACCAGGAAAGGGCAGAGGGAGAAACACAAAAGACAGAAGACTGGGGGATACTTGGCAATCAGAATAAGGGCTGGGAAGCCCAAGAGGGACCAGCTGTGGTTTGAGGTGACCGGATAGGGCAGAGCAGCAGGAAGGCTGGGGAGGCAAGGGAGGAAGGAACATGGAGCTGGGGAGCCAACAGTCGAAAAATCTAGGGCACAGCCTCTGGACACAGCTGCAGAGTCCAAATGGTGCCTCCTGGACAATGGGGGAAGCCCAGAGCCAAAATGTGAAAAGGTACAAGAATGGGGCTCAGTGGGACTCATTCCAGCAGCCCTGAAAGCTACAGCAAGTTCCCAAAAGGGGAGGACACGTTGCAGTGAGAGGCCAAAGGGTCCCAGCACAGGAGGGAGGGCAGGGCAGGAAGCAGGCGTGAGTCATCAGGCACGTTAGCGCCCGCCAGGCCCAGGTCGGGCTCTCCAGCACCTGCCTTGGGCAGTTGGCGTGGGCTAGCCCAGATTTTCCGGTCCCAGGGCAGGCAAGCCAGGTGGGTGGAGCCCTTGGGTGTGCTGGAACTCAGTTCCAGGCCAAGAGACAGAGCAGGGCAGGGCTTTAACCCAGGATCTAGGGAGGCTTTATACAATCCTCCGTGGGCAAGGAGAACAACCTGGACCCACCAGGTGCCAGGCCTGAGTCACCTGACACATCAGTGCCCACAGAACCTGGGACTGGCAAGGGACACACCAGGCCTGGTTGGTGCAGGGCCTCACTCCCCCTCCTCCCCACCCCAACACCTACCCAGTCAGCAGAAGCCCTCGCTGAGATGGCTCCTGGGCCAGGTTCCGGCCCCCAGTGATGGGCCAACTCTAGGAAAGGACAGCAGTGATGTGAGCTTATATACACCCACATTCCCACCTCCAGCTTGAGCCCAGTACTGCCCTCCAGTAGGAGCACACTCCCCACAATGCCATTCACAGGATACCCACACACTCACCGAGGCACTAGAGGCAGACTGGGGGCTCTGCTTCTCACCAGCACTCACAATGCGGGCCCACAGCTTGCTGGGAACATTGGCAACATGGGCAGAGCAAGTGATGGCGGATGAGTGCAGTGGGGCCAGGTAGGGGGCAGGCATGGCCGGCCAGCCAGGGGTCTTCAGGTCCAGCACCACCAGCTCCTCTTCCAGCAGCACAGCCAAGGCCTGGGGGTCATCAAATTCTGCCGGACAGGATGGGTGAGTTCAGCCACAGGCTTCACTGGGCAGGCTAGGGGTGGGGGACAGGGCACACACCATCCTCAGGCCTCGTGCTATGCACCGTGAAGAAGTCAATGATGCGTGAGGTAAAGTCTAGAGTCACCAGAGTCTCAGCTCGAAGCACACTCACACAGTGGCGGTCACCGTAGCTGGCACGGGGCATGCCACCACTGAAGATGATAAAGTGGCCCCTGAAAGAGGGGTCATGTAAGCAGGGAGCCTTTGGAGCACACACTGCACACCCACCAAGGGCTTTACCCCTGTATGTTCAGCCACACCATTTCAGGCCCCAGCCAGGCACAACTGCTCCCTCAACCTACCCTGATTCACAGTTCCGCCACAGAATCTTGTTGATGGCTTTGCATGGAAAGGGACCTGGGGGGAAGACCGCATCAGACCTCCCATTCCTGATCTTCCTGAAAGTTGCCTCCTGCCTCTCTCCAGGGGAAGGTCCACCACCTGACCGAGGATGCTCAGGGTCTCCCTTTGCAGATTTGGTTAGGCAGCGCCCCCAGCAAGGCCAGGTGGCCCTCCAGACACCACCCACTAGCTCTGGCCTCCCCAGTACTCACCATAGGGCGTGGTAGCTACTGTGGGCTGCATTGTCAGCCGGCTGCCAGTGTCTGTAGACCAGACAGCGTAGCTGCCATCACTGTGTGAGCTGATGATGGTTTCACCACCACGCCCCCAACACAGGCTCTCCAGTTGCTGTGGATAGGGCAGGAGGATGTGAGCCAGCAGGTGCATGCAGGAGCCTCAACTGAGGGGTGTAGGCTTCATGCACTGACCTGGTTCCCCAGGAAGACATGTTCCACACACCGCGCAGCCTGGTTCCAGATGACCAGCAGGCCCCTGCTGTAGCCAATGAGGATCTTGGTGGGGTCCCGTAGGTGTCCCTGGAGTGACTCCACAGGGCCCAGGGCCTTCCCGCACCGGTAATCATCTGGCACACTGCAAGAGAGAGCCCCAATGAGTCCTGAGAACTTCTCACACATGGGAAGTTCTTCCCACCTACTGCTCACCTGCGCAGCACCTCGTCTGCACTGAGAGTCTGCCCTTCGAGCAGCGTCAAGGTGGTGACATCCAGGAAGAAGATGCTGCTGCCTTCAGTTCCCAAGGCTGCTGTGTTGCCAACAGCCACCAATAGGACCACTGTGACACGAGTGAGGCTGGCTGTGGTGCTGCAGGGGATGAGAAGGGGTGAGGTTGAACCCCTATACCTGTTGGGAAGGGTGTGAAAGGGGTTGGGCCCTACTGCCAGCTCATTCCTGCCCCTCTGCACTCATAGGGCCTACTTACAGCACAGGCTGACGCCCTGGGAGGGTGACGGTGTGGTGTAATTAGCCCGCTCAATTATTCATCAGGATGTCGGCAGGGAGAGAGATAAAAATAGGTTCCCCAGGTCTTGGAGACGGACTCCCGGCTCCTCTCACCACCAGGAGACCAGGCATTTCTCCAGTCAGAACCAGGAGCTTCACAACAGATTTGGCCTCTCTAAATCCCACCCAGGACTCCTGCCACCAGCCTGCTGGACACCTCCCAACCACAGGAGGGCCCAGACAGCCCCTGCCTGCAGAGACTGAAACTACTCAGGAAACCACTCTTGGGCAAGGACTCCTCTGTTCCAGCCATTTCTGGCAGTCCTGGGAGAAGAGGCCCCTTACTCTCACCTAAGGGTTAGGCCCACTCCATGCACCTAGAGCATCCTGCTAGCACCTCACCAAGCCCACTCTAGATGACCTTCCTTGCACCTTACCTGCCTATTCACCTGTGCATACAATGGCCCATCTTCCACCCCCAACTCAAGGGGCCAAGGGACCTTTGCTGATGTCAACTTGGCTTAGACCCTGTCCCAAGCCTCTAGAAAACCCTATCACTATAGGGACCACAGCACCAGGCTGTAAGTCCAAGGAGTTTGATATATAGCACACATTATCTCCTGAGGCTCCCAAAACTAAAGGCTCCCACAGTCAGTACCACAGATCAACCTACTCATCTTAGACTCAGCCAAAACACCTTACATTGAACCTAAGAAGTACAGAGCCACAGCAAAACAGGGGCCTAACTCAAGCCAGACTCCATGCACTCCCACCCAAATCACAGTCCTGCTGGCAGCTGCCCCTCCCTGCCACACCTTGACATGCCAGCTCCCAGCCTCCCTGGATCCCACCTGCCCAGTGGCTGGTCCCAGCCAAGTCCTCCAATACCTGACATTCTCAAAGCTGGGCCGGCTGGGCGGCTGAAAGCTGAGTGCCTCCTCCAAGTGGGCACAGCCATTATGGTGGACAATCTCCCAGAGATGCAGGCTGCTGTCATCGAGCAGGGTCAAGAGGCGGCCCTGGTAGGTAAGCAGAGACCCAAACTGGGCTAGTCAGGAAGGTTGGGAGGACATGGAAACCAAAGGATCTGGCTGGGGGCGGAGGGGAGCCAGCACTCACCTGGCCAGGCAGGAAGTGCATCTGGGTGACAGTGGCTGTGTCCCGGTGCAGGCCTGTAAATTCCACGCCAGGTGCACCGTAGCTGAGGGTGACTGGTCAAGGACAGAAACATGTACAACAGGCCAAGAAACTGCGGCACAGGAAATGCAGAGGCTCTCTCCTTCCTTGGGATTATTCCAATGGGTCCTGCTCCAGACCTGCCTGTCCAGGGGCCCCTTCTCTGAAAAAAGCTTTAGCCCTCCACGCCCAAAGTACTCTCAGGCTCATAGTGTAGGCTCCATGCAGCCCCTGCAAGTCAGGTACTGCTGTAGGACCTTTATGTCCTCATCTGTAAAATGGGCTAATGATTTCTGTGGAAGACCAAGTGAGAATAAAAACCTGTCCAGCATACATGGCCCCAACCTGGTGCATAGCTTGGGCTCTGTTCCATCTCAGCATCCTGTGTGTCTTTATCTGGCTATGTGGGCTGAGGGCCTGGTAGCTGGAATCAGGCAGGCTAGGCCTGAACAGAGAAGTCCAAAGGGCAAAGAAGAGTCCAGGCTGCCTTTTACCACAGATGCTGGGTCCACTCCAGCTATGGGCAAGGACCCCAACCTCTCTTCAGGGCATAGAGCCAACAGCCTCCACTGCCCACTTTCCAGATGAACACACAGAGACTGGGAGAGGGTGCTAACCTGCTTGAAGTCCCCACTGCTAGCACCTAGAGTCCTAGCAACTCTAGGGATGATAGTGGCCAGCAGGGCCTGAGGGGCCCAGAAGAGAGCTGAAGGAGGGATCAGCGACGTTGCCCCAGTGACAAGGCAGGAACCGTTGCCTGGAGCTTGAGCTGGGCTCCCCACAGGAGCCTGGCAGGGACAGTGAAAGAGACAAAAGAGGGGGCAGGAACAGCTGGGAGGGAAGCAGGGTCACCAAGGAGATAGGGCTGCCTTGCAGGAGGAGGGTAGCTTCTAAGACCAGGGTTGACCTTCTCCAGCCTCAGTTTCTCAACCCCAGAGACTCCAGGCTCTGGAATTTTAGTAAAAAGAGGGAAGTGGGGGAGGCCCCCAGCTCTAGCATCCCCTCTGAGACTGTGTCCCTCTCTGCACTCCAGGTCCTCTGTGAGCATGGGGAACCAGTGCACAGGGACCCTCTACAGGAGGGATATCTCGGAGCGCCTGACAGCAAAGCCAGTGCAGGCAGACACAGAGCCTTGTGAGATGGAGAAAGTCTGTAGCATCACACTTATGGAGGCACCACAGCATTCATGAAGGTTGGGGGTGGGCCCCCCACCAATGCCTCAAGGGCCCCTGTAAGAGGAGGAGACGTTCCAGCCCTGCCACACTCCCTAGAGCAGGCAAAAAACTCAGAAGCCACAGGCTCAGACACCCACCCTGTCCTGGCCAGTGCCCCCAGTCCTGGAATGAGAAGACCCTATCTCATGCCCTTTCTTCTCAGGCACCGACTTATTTCCTGACCATCAGTATCTGGGTTACCAGGGTACTGACACAGAGAGCACCATATAGGGAGGAGGAGGGCACCAACCAGACTATGCACCTCAGTCTCCCCAAGAGCAATTGGGGTGGGAGTCCCAGAGTAGGCAAGAAGACATTCAGCAGCCTGCTGGCCCCAGCCCCCACCTCCACCCTGGACTGTAGGAAAATGCCCGCTTTGTACAGCTCACATGGCCCATTGTGTGGCACCAGGATCCAGGTGGGGGCTGTGCTGTGCTCATCATGCTGAGCCTGGCACTGCCTGGCATCCTGTCCTAAATCATACACATCTTCACATTTGCACATGTGTGTATACCCACTCACCAGGGTCCCCAACCCACCCACCATCCTCACTGGGTAACTCAGCCCAGCCACTTGGCCAGGTCTCCCCAGTCACAGTTGCTAGGACCTTGGTAGCGTTGCCTAGGAAACTAGCTGACTGAAACACAGGGAGGGAAATGCAGTGAAGAACAGCTGTGGCCCCTGCAAGCTGACCCCCCATCACCCATCTCCCAGCAAAAGGACCGTATCATCTCCAAGAGGAGTCATTCAGGCACACAGGCAGGGCCAACTTCCTTTGACACCCCAGCATGAACTGCAGTCTCCACAAAGTACCTGCCAAGGCTGGGACCCTAACACAAAGGATCTTGAATGATCTGAATGACACAGTTGCAAAGGATACATCTTGACAGCCCCAGACCTGGTGCCAATGGCCATGATGCGAAGTTCAGGGTCGAAGGCCAGGGCGCTGGGCTGGTTAGGGAAGCCATGCTCCACAGTCTGCAGGGGAGGGGACTGCTGTGGGTGCACACACCAAACACTGCTGCTCTGGCCCACTATGGCCCCCATGGCAGCCTTTAGGCTCTGCCACTGAGGCACTAGGGGTAGAAGCCAAGTCCACCTGCTCACTGTACCTCAGTGTCCTCAACTGTGAAACGCATGGCTGTACCCCCAGTTCATCGAGAGGTGGGCTGAGTCCTGAGCTGCTTCTGAGTGTATGGCCCAGAGGCCCTCCTCTTGCCAAGCACGGGTTCTACTCAATGCCCACCTCACCCCACTGTGCATGAGGCTCAAAGAGGAGCAGGCACTGAAGATAAGGATGCCACCTGCCCCCTGGGAGTCCTGCACCCCATACCTAGAGGCACAGACTAAAGTGTAGTAAAGAGCTGTGCTGCCCAGAGTGCCATGTGAAGTCCATGGCACTCACCACAGGCCCCACATGGAGGTCAAATGTCAAGGTCAACACCCACAATCAGCTAGGCAGAGCACACTGACTTCCTGCAGACACAAGAAAACCAAGACCCAGAGACAGATAGCTTTCTGCCCAGCCCCTGAAGGTATCACCCCTCCTCCTACCTAGAAACAGCCAGGCAACAAGAGTTGCAACCCATCAGCCCTACTTAGTCCTCTGCTCCTTGTAGGGCTAGTCCTGCTTGGTATGGCCCCTTCCTTACCCACCAGACTCCTGTACTTTCTCCTTCGACTTGGCTGAGTTTCCCTTCATTTACCCACCTTCCAAAGAGCTTCCACTCATGTCTAAGAGGGTCTCCCTGGGGAGCCCCGTCTTGAACACCAGCATGGTACACCCATCACCTATCTCCAAACCAGGCATGAACATGCCTGTAATCCCAGCACTTGGGAAGCTAAGACAAGAAGATCTTGAGTTTAAGGCCAGCCTGGGCTACACAGCAAGACTCTGAAAACAAAACAAAAGCCTATCCCCAGCTATCACCCACCCTTAGCCCATCCAGGAGGGGACTGAGCTATCTGGGCAGCTGGTTTGGGAGGGCCTATGTGGCCTTGGGCTGATCACAGTACTCTCCAGCCTGCTTCCACGGGGCCCTCACATGGAGCAGCCTGATGGTAGAGCAGAGCTCTTTTGACTGGGGAGTTGGGGAGACCTTCCTATTTCCACCATCACTGCCATGCCCTTGCTGGAACTGACCGCATCTAGCCAGTCCCAGGCTATGCCTTGTGTCCAGCAGAGAGGGCAAATATGACGTCCCAAATCCCCACAGCCTTGAGTGGGCCCCACCCAGTTCCTGATTTACAGAGAGGAGGCTAGGTCATTGGTCTAGCATCTTCACACCCTAAGTCCAATCCACTCCTGGGTCCTATCCCCTCAGTTTCAAGACACACACAGACATCCTTCTGACATCCTACAGCCTTCACCACCTGCCTGGACTAGTACTCACTACAGTCTGCTCCCCAAAGAGGCCAGAGGAAGCCTGTGAAAACCAGTCAGCTCCCTACCCCTCATCTGCCTAGGCTCTCCAAGGGTCCCAGTTCACCCACAGTCAGAGCCAAGTCCTCACCATGTGGCCCCTCTCTGTCAGCATCTCCCACTTCTCCTAGCTCACCTGACTCAGCTCCAAGGCACTTTGCTCTCTTCCAATACATTAGTCAGGCTCCTGCCTCAGAGCCTTTGCATATATAGTCCCTCTGCCCCTAAACCTGCTTCACCATGCATACCTCATGGCAGGGTCCTTCCCAACACTCAGGAAGCTGACAACTTCTCTGGAAGGTCTCCCTACACTATCCTAGCTACAGCAAGCAGCATCCCTGTCCACATTTCCCACATCCTCACCCTGCTTCCTTTTTATTCACAGTACCAGTGATCATGTCAACTACAGAACTTTACTTTTTTGTTTTGGCTTTTCACCATCTTCCCAGTGAGTACATCAGTCCCCTAAGTGAAGAGATATTGGTCTCTTTTGGTCCCCACTGTGTCCCTAGCACCAAGGAGTAGGAGCTCCATATTAAACGGACATGAAGTACACATTACACAAGCAATGCGTGGGCTGGGCTGGGCTGGGATCTCAACCCAGAGTCATAGTCTGTCTTTACCCCTGACAAACACCCCCAAACTTAGGAATCTGAGGCCTATTCCCTAGGAATCACCCATCCATTCCCTTTGGCAACCAAGCTCCTTCCCCAAGAACACTTCTCTCCCATTATTGCTGCCTACTCCAATAGGGTCTCCCCATCCCCACCTCATGCTACAGCCAACCAGAATGAGCCAAACCTCAGATCTTCACTCCCAAAGGTACAAGTCCTTACTGCACAGCTCAATCCAAGGACTGAGGAAATGACATAGTCCAGGACCTGTTCTGTCTTTCTGGAAGGGCCATTCTTCTTTCACCTCAGGGGGACTCACCCTCACAGCTGCCCCAGCATAAGAAGAGGCAGTATCTGGAGGCCCCTGAACACCAGCCTCCCCTCTTAGGCAGCTTCTCAGTCACCAAGTGTGAGGGACCTCCTGGCAGCCCCAGGATTGTGAGCTGGGACCTCAGCAGGAAAAACTGCCTGCCTGAGACATCCCAGAGCCTTTCCAGGGACCATCTGCTCACAGAATGCCAGTAACCCCTCCAAAACTCCCTGCTCCTCCAGGCTAAGATCCAATCCCACCTCGGAGCAACTCAAGGAAGACAAAGTGGCCCAGCTCACTCTGTGACTTTGGACAAGTCCTCACTCCCTCTCTGCACCCCAATTTTCTCATGTGTGTAATGGAGATAAATCCATTCCCAAATAGCAAGCCAAAGGCAAAACTGAGGGGCCCAAACTGAGCCCCACCACTAGGGAGGAGTTAGCAATGGGCAGGCTGGAGCCCCACTCTACCTGGCCATCAGTGCAGGGAGAGATGGAAGCCCTCTCCTCCCATGGAAAGAAGGACCTACCAATCCTCTAGCCCCAGTCCAAGTTGGTGCAAAGTGTCAGGTCAGCTGGCCCATGCGACACAGGGAGCCAGAACCCACAGCAAAAAGAAAAGTGTCTTCCGTTTCATGGCTGGGGATACTGAGGCACCACAACTTCAAGTGTATCTGGGTACACAAAGGGGCATGTCCACTGGACTAGAAGCCACTGGCTGGACCAGGGAAGGGCAGGGCCTAGGGCCGTGGGGGAGGGAGAGGCTTCGCCGAGGGATTTCCCAGCACCACCCCCCACTTCTCCTCCATCCCTCACCTCTCCCGCCGACCTGGGTGCGAAAGCAAAACAAAACCCGCCTCTGGGCTGTCCCAAGGGCCAGGCAGGGGCCACAAAGAAAAAGGATAAAGAGACCGGGAATAAGACCCTACAAAGACGTAGAGGCGAGTAAGGGAAAACAAGCAAAGACTCAGAGATACAGAGACACAAAAAGAAAAATGAGAGGCAAAGAGATAAAGGGAGACAAGAGAGGCAGAGAAGAGATACGCAGCGACAGAGGCAAGAGGACCCCTCCAGCCCCCGCAACACATACAGGCACAAACTGAGAAGGCGACCGTCACAGGGGCAGGAGAGGGAGGGGCAGGGACGCAGAGAGATGCAAATAGTGGCAATGAGAGAGACCCGGACGGCTAGAGACGTGCAGGGCCGGGACCAGGGAGGCCCACGAGAGCCGGAGAGGCAAGCACAAAAGTCAGCAAGACCCAGCACCACCCAGAGTCCGAGAGCCAAGGAGCGGAGTACGCGAGGCGCGGGGCCGCCGAGGGGCGCTAGCCTGGCGTCCGCCCCGCGCCGCTCCAGTCAGGCGCCCCCTCCCCCCGGCCCGACGTGGCTCCGACCCCGGCCCCCGGCCCGGGCCCCCGGCCCGCCCCCTCCGCCCAAGCCCGGGCCGCCGCCGCACCTTGTTGAAGGCGAAGAGCTCCTGTTTGAGCTTCTCTCGCTGCGGGTCGGCGCCTTGCCGCCGGAACCGAAACTTCATCATCTTGCGCCCGGCTGCCGGCGCCGCGCCCGCCGCCGCCGCCGCCGCCCGCAGGATGCGCCGCGCGGCCCCGCCGGTCCTGAAGCGCGGGCGGGGCGCCAGGCGGCCCGGGCGCGGGCACGCGGGGCGGAGCCTGCCTGGGGGTGGGAGCGGGGCGCGACGGATGCGCCGCCCGACCAATGAAATTAGGGCGCCGCCATGCTTTCCGCTCCTCCCCTGCCCGCCAGACAATGGGGGCGTACAGGGCCCCCGGGCTCGGCCAGGCTCGCGAAGAGACGCCCGGTGCGCATGCGCTGCAGCGTGGGACCTGCCGGGACTTGTAGTCTGTGAGCCGGAACTCCAACGTGGGTCTCTGGGAAACTGTAGCGAAGAGTCTAGCGCATGTTTCCCGGGTTGGAGGACCTTTTTCCTATTCCCACCCATAAGGCGACATGAACATTCATGTAATAAGATAGCCTTGTCCTGAAAGCCAGGAGAGTTCTGACTGGAACAATTCTCTCCCTTCCTCCTCCCCACTGTGAACCTCAATTTTTCCATCTTTGATGTAGGCCCTAGGTTGCCAAGTATACATATTACTAGTTTCATGGGACATCACTTCGTCTTTTTTTTTTTTTCTTTAGGTACTGGGGTTTGAACTCAGTGCTTAACACCTTTTTTTTTTCACTTTTTATTTTTTTATTATTCATATGTGCATACATTTCTCCCCCCTGCCCCCACTCCCTCCCTTACCACCCACTCCACTCCCTCCCTCTCCCCCCCCACCTCCTCAATACCCAGCAGAAACTATTTTGCCCTTATCTCTAATTTTGTTGGAGAGAGAGTATAAGCAATAATAGGAAGGAACAAGGGTTTTTGCTGGTTGAGATAAGGATAGCTATACAGGGAATTGACTCACATTAATTTCCTGTGCATGTGTGTTACCTTCTAGGTTAATTCTTTTTGACCTAACCTTTTCTCTAGCTCCTGGTCCCTTTCTCCTATTGCCCTCGGTTGCTTTTAAGGTATCTGCTTTAGTTTCTCTGCGTTGAGAGCAACAAATGCTAGCTAATTTTTTAGGTGTCTTACCTATCCTCATATCTCTCGTGTGCACTCGCTTTTATCTTATGATCAAAGTTCAATACCCTTGTTGTGTTTGCCCTTGATCTAATGTCCACATATGAGGGAGAACATACGATTTTTGGTTTTTTGGGGCAGGCTGACCTCACTCAGAATGATGTTCTCCAATTCCATCCATTTACCAGCGAATAACATTTCGTTCTTCTTCATGGCTGCATAAAATTCCATTGTGTATAGATATCACGTTTTCTTAATCCATTCATCAGTAGTGGGGCATCTTGGCTGTTTCCATAACTTGGCTATTGTGAATAGTGCTGCAATAAACATGGGTGTGCAGGTGCCTCTGGAGTAACCTGTGTCACGGTCTTTTGGGTATATCCCCAAGAGTGGTATTGCTGGATCAAATGGTAGATCAATGTTTAGCTTTTTAAGTAGCCTCCAAATTTTTTCCCAGAGTGGTTGTACTAGTTTACATTCCCATCAACAGTGTAAGAGGGTTCCTTTTTCCCCCGAATCCTCGCCAACACCTGCTAATGATGGCTATTCTAACAGGGGTGAGGTGGAATCTTAGTGTGGTTTTAATTTGCATTTCCTTTATTGCTAGAGATGGTGAGCATTTTTTCATGTGTTTTTTGGCCAGGTGCTTACACCTTGAGCCACTCCGCCAGCCCTTTTTTTGTGATGGGTTTTTTCCAGATAGGGTCTCACAATTTGCTGGGGCTGGCTTCCAATCATGATTCTCCTGATCTCTGCTTCCTGAGTAGCTAGGATTACAGGCCTGAGCCACCAGCAGCTGGCTGTCATTTTGTCTTTTCCCTAGTGTGCCAGAGCACCTCCCACCACTATGTTTTTGCCTTCACTGAGTGGTCAGTCAGCAATTACTTCCTCAACTCCTGGGGAACTTCTATACATCTTTCAGGACCCCACTGTGGCACAGACACAGGGGATCCTTATGCGTGGTATTGTTAACAGTGAGGATGCAGTCTGTGATCAGAAGACTTCCAAGTTCTTTGTATCCCACCGGGAAGAATCCATGGAAGGACACCTGGGTGTAATGAGAGTTTATTAAAAGTTAGGCAAGGAAAATACAAGGGGAGCATAGGAAGGTCCAGGTGGATTCTGCAGGCCAAGAGAGCATGTTTCTGATCTTTAGGTGCTTTTAAAATCTATGAGAACCTATGAGCAGGGGAGAACCAGGTGATTCCCATCCAATAATCGAGTGGGGAGGGGCATGGTTGGGTCCCAGTCAGGTGAGGGCGGTTCCCGAGCCAAAGCATGGTTAATCTAAGATGTAATATTTTTCAGTAAGTCCTGATCTTTCCCTGATCTAACTTGCCTCAGTATGAGCCAAATCAAGACAGGGACACAGCAAGAGGCATCATTTGGGGTTGCCCTGAAATTGGATTTAGGCTTTTCTCAGATGGAGGAAGGCCCTTCCCTCCACAGAGAACATAAGATGAACAAAGCTGCACCCCACCCCCACTCTCTGCCTGTCCCCACCCACCTCCCAGGCCTTGTTTTCTTCTGGACAATGGCCTCAGGCTGAAACTTCCCTTCCATACATAGGATAGGCTGCTGGGGGGGTTCAGTGCTGGGCAGGTCCCAGAATCTTAGGTGGGGCAGGTGGGCCAGGCCCCAACCCCACCAGCTGTGTCATGGGAGGAGGGGACCTCTGACTCTGAGGCAGCTGCAAAGGCCCCCTGGTTTCACACCCAGGCTTGTTCAGCCCATCCCGGGAGCTGAGTTTGGTGGGGGAGCTGGTGAGAGGAGCCTGAATGATTCCCAAAGCTTATGAGGGCCTGCAATGCAGCAAGGCCTGCGCAAGGCCCTTTCCAGGTGGCTCACACCTGTAATCCTAGCTACTCAGGAGGCAGAGATCAGAAGGATCATGGTTGGAAGCCAGACAGGGCAAATAGTTCAAGAGACCCTATCTTAAAACAAAAACCTTCACAAAAAAAGGCTGGTGAAGTGGCTCAAGGTGTAGGCCCTGAGTTCAAGCCCCAGGACCACACACAACAACAACAACAAACAGCCCTTTCTTGGTGCTAGGGTATAGTTCAGCAGTTGAGCCCTGGGTTCCATCCTTAGCACCCCACACAGGCAAAAGGCCCTTCCTGGTTTCAATTAGAAATCAATGCTCCCAACAGCCCATGAAGGAGGCAGCAATAGCATCGCAGTTTTATAGAAACTGATCTGCTCCAGAGAAAGCTGGGGCAGATCAGCAAAGGCAAGGAGGTCTCTAGTGTTCAGAGTTATCTGCACTGAAGAAAATCAGACTCTGCTGACAACTGCCCATACCAACACTTGTCTCAGGCAGCTAGAGGCCTAGGCTCTGGACCCTGCCCTCATGGGATCTCAAAGGGAAAGTGTTAGGAAGTTGTTCATTCACATCTGAACTTTGCCATCCTAGAAGCCTTGCAACCTGAAGCAAGCTACCTTAGTCTGTGTCTCAGTTTCCCCATTTGTAAAAATGTTAATCCTAGGCCAGATACCAGTGGTTCACACCTGTAATCCTAGCTATTTGGGAGGCTGAGATTGGGAGGATCAAGGCCAGCCAGGGCAAATAGTTTGTGAGACCCTATCTCCAAAATAACCAAAGCAAAATGGACTGGCAGAGCTCAAGTGGTAGAGCACCTACTTTGCAAGCATAAAGCCTGCGTTCAAACTCCAGTCCTACCCCCACCTCAAAAAATGTTGCTAATCCTAGTACTTACCTCAAAGATTCATTGTGAAGAATAAATTACTACTTGTCCAGTCCTTAGAACATGCTAGACAGGTAGTAAGATCCATATACAAGTTAGCTATTATTGGTTTTGTTAACTGCTGTTGATCATTTCCCCTCATCCTAGGCAAGTTCCATGGCTTCCCTGTCTCCATTTTGGAATGGAACGTGGTCATCAGGCAGTAAGCAGCCATGCCCCCTTACCCCAGTTCACATCCTGGAGGGCAGGAGAACAGAACTGAGCAGAGACCATAGCCTCCACTAGTTCAGAGGCAGCATCTGACCTAGAGTAGATGTCCTGGGAGCAAAGAGGGAACTTGGCTCGATCTGATCAGGGTAAAGTGCAGTTAAATACGGAAAATGAAATATGGATAGGTAAACTGAGGCCTGGACAGGGCAGGGTTCAGGGCTGGCACTAGGCAGGAAGAGGCTGGGACCTTAATAACTGTCCCCTTGCCTGGTACCAGTGGCTCACACCTTTAAACCTAGGTAATGAGGAGGCAGAGATCAGGAGGATTGCAGTTCTGGGCCAGCCCTGGCAAATAATTTGCAAGATTCCATCTCCAAAATAACCAGGGGAAAATGGACTGGAGGTATGGATCAAGCAGTAGAGTGTCTGCTTTGCAAGTGCAAAGCCCTGAATTCAAACTCCTAAGTTCAAACCCTTCTTCCACCAAAAAAAAAAACCAACCAAACCTGAAGCAAATATGACAACATGTTAAGGTGTATGGGCCGGGCTGTAATCCCACCTACTCAGGAGGCAGAGATCATGAGGATCATAGTTTGAAGCCAGCTGGGGCAAACATTTTTGCAAGACTTTATCACAAAAAAACCCTACACAAAAAAGGGCTGGCAGAATGGCTCAAAGTGTAAGCCCTGAGTTCAAACCCCAGCCCAGTACCACAAAAAAAAAAAAAAAAAAAAGAAGGTATATGGGTAGTGGGAGCTTGTGTGGTTTCTCTTTTTTTTTTTTAAGTCTTTTAAGAATGTATTTGAAATATTTCATTAAAAAATAACACAAAGGCTGGAGATTTGGCTCAAATGGTGAAGTGCCTGCTTTGCAAGTGTGAAGCCCTGAGTTCAAACCCCAGTCTTACCAAAGGGGGAAAAAAAAAACATCACCAGGGTCCAGGTGTAGCTCAGTGATACAGCATGTACTTATCATGTGTGAGGCCCTGGGTTCCATCCCCAGCACTCCCAGCCCCACACACAAAATAATAATACAGCACAATAAGCATCACC